CCAGCTGGCTGACTGGGCCAATCCCCAGGAGACAGTGAGTTCTAGTCCAACCTTAGGCCTGAAAGCCAGCTGGCTGACTGGGCCAGTCACCAGGAGATTGCGAGTTCTAGTCCTGCCTTTACTATGAAAGCCAGCTAGGTGACCTTGGGACAGTCACTCTCTCAGCCCAGTCCACCTCACAGGGTTCTTCTTGTGAGGAAAATAGGAGGAGTAAGGTATGTTGGATATGTTCTCAGCTTGGAATTATTTGTAAAAATAATAAAAGGCAGGGTATAAAAATACCTCCAGGTGTTCCTTTTTCTCTACTACAATCCTGCGAGGTAGCTTCAGATCGGAGAAAGTTTGGGGTGGTTTTTTGTGGGTTTTTGTTTTGAAGAATAACCTAAACCTTACCTAATAAGTTGTTGCTGCTTGTTATCAAGGCGAGAAGGATTGATTTATTTCAGTGTTTCTCAACCTTGGCCAATTTCTGAGGTGTGGACTTCAACTCCCAGAATTCCCCAGCCAGCATGGCTGGCTGAGGAATTCTGGGAGTTGAAGTCCACACCTCTTTGAGAGTAGGTTGAAAAAACACCGATTCACCTGCAAAGCGCTCACCCATCTCTTTCTTTCCAGCATCGCCGTCCTCCGCCAGGAAGTGCCCATCAGGCTCTTCGACCAGTAAAAACCTTAGCCCCACCAGTAGCCCCAGGACTATGGGCAGAAGCAAGGGGCGCCTTCGTCTCCCCCAGCTCTGCAAAAACAAACTCTCGAGCAGCAAAGAGAACCTGGACACGAGTCGAGAGAACGGTACCCAGCCAGATCCAAAGGCCACATTGGACTCTCCGGGCAGGGAGCAGCAAAAATTGGGGGATGGTTCAGGAGAACCGGTGGTCACTCAGGACAATGAGGGGCAGCTCACCAACGGATACCTTTGCAAGCTCAGCTCCTCCAGCAACCACAGTCTCAACGGTCTCCTGGAAGCCCGCCGGGAAGAGGAACTGGCGGATGACCAAAGAGGAGAAATCTGTATTAATCCTATTTATAACTTATATGCAATTTCGGTAGGTGTCCGATGGCCGTCTGGGTTGAAAGCTTGGTGGGGGGGGGGTTTCCCCAGCTCAAATTACGGCTGACCCGTTGCAGGAAAGGCCCGGAGAGGTCCACGTAAACCATACCAAAGGGAAGAGCGGAAGGAGGGTCCCACAGTGTCTATCCAGGCTTAATCACCTGAATTACAGGTAGTCCTCGACGTACGGCCACAATTGAGCCCAAAATTTCTATTTGCTGTCTGGCCAGAAGATGGATAGTTGTCTGCCACATCTATTCATCTCCGCCCCCTGCCTTTTATCCCCAGAGCTAGAGTGGGGGCTTTGCTAGCAGTGGGGGCTCTTCTATCCCAAGGACCGGACCATAGATTTCCACTGCTCTCCTCTCCTCTGCCTTCCGTCCCAAGGACCAGCCCATAGATTTCCACTGCTCTCCTCTACTCTGCCTTCTGTCCCAAGGACCGGCCCATAGATTTCCACTGCTCTCCTCTCCTCTGCCTTCTGTCCCAAGGACCAGCCCATAGATTTCCACTGCTCTCCTCTCCTCTGCCTTCTGTGCATCTGCATGTCAGGCACTGGACCCAGTTGTTCCTCCTCTTCCTCATCAGCCACCTGCAGACCTGGAGGGCTGTTGACTCTCCATCTGAGGTCTGACGGGCGGCCCCGACTCCACCTCTGTCTCTCTCTCTCTGCCAGCTCCATTTCCTCTTCCCCCTCAGAGTTCTCAGGTTGCCCTGATGCTGACCCTGACTCCCACGCCGCTGCCTCCTCTGGTTTGGCTGCTGGAGGGGGGGCAGCACACAACAGGCCACAAGAAGTTGTTAAAAGAGCTTTGCCCTATTTTATCACCTCTCTTGCCACAGATGTTCAGTGAATCACCGCAGTTGTTAAGTTAGTAACACCATTGTTAAGTGAGTCTGGCTTCCCCCATTGACTCTGGGAGTGTTGGAACAGTCGTAAATTCAATCATAACCCAGTTTTTTCACTGCCTTTATAACTTCGGATGGTCACTAAATGACTGGTTGTAAGTCAAAAACTATCTTTATTCCCTTGGAAGGGGGGAAAAAATCCATACCATCACCATCTTGGATTTTCGCTTCCCTCACAAAGTCTTCTTCAGCATTGCTCAGCTGCTGGAAGACAGAATGCCAGAATAACAGAGTTGGAAGGAACCTTGTAGGTCATCTAGTCCAACCCCCCTGCCCAAGCAGGTGGGCCTACCCCATTTTTGACAGATGGCAGTCCAGTCTCTTCTTGAAAGCTTCCAGTGACAAAGCTCCCGCAACTTCCAAAGGCAACGTCTGTTCCATGGGTTGATTGTTCTCACTGCCAGAAAATTTCTCCTTATTTCTAGGTTGAATCTTTCCTTGATCAGCTTCCATCCATTATTCCTTGTCTGGCCTTCGGGTGCCTTGGAGAATAGCTTAACCCCTTCCTCCTCTCTGTGGCAGCCCCTCAAATATTGGAAGGCTGCTATCCTGTCTCCCCTGGTCCTTCTCTTCCCTAGACTAGCCAGGCCCAGTTCCTGTAACCGTTCTTCATACGTTTTAGTCTCCAACCCTCTAATTCTTTGTTGCTCTTCTCTGTACTCTTTCTAGAGTCTCAACATCTTTTTTATAACGTGGTGACCAAAACTGGATATATTCTAGGTGTGTCCTTACTAAGGCTTTATAGAGTGGAATTAGTACCTAGAAAGATTGAGGAATAGAAGAAGGGGATGGCAAAGCAGGAGGTGGCTGCCTGGAGCCGCTGAAGCAGTCGGCGTGAGCTTAAATGGACTCCAGGAGATGGTAGAGGACAGGAAGGCCTGGAGGAATGTTGTCCATGGGGTCGCGATGGGTTGGACACCACTTCGCAACTAACAACAACAACATTAGTACCTCACATGTTATTGATTCAATCCCTCTGTTAATGCAGTTTAGGATTGCATTGGCTTTTTCACTGCCACCGCACCCTGTTAGCTCATATTTCATTGATTGTCTTCTAAGACCATCTCCCTGAACCTACTTGCTCCTCAGGGCCATTCATCGCCTACTGGTGAGAGGCTGCTGGCTCTTGAGGAGCCTTTGACAGGCATAAACGTGAGAAGACACAATGTCTGTGGAGATTCTCAATCATCCAGGACGCGTTTGTCCTAAAGGCACTTTCCAAGAGGCAACTGGACTTTCTTGGGGGGCGGAGGGGGAGGTTCCTTGAAAACTTTTCGCTTCTCATCTAACAACTGAAGCAGCTTCTTGGATGGGAAGCGAAATGTCTTCAAAGGAAAAAATAAAACCAACCAAGAAAATCCAATTGCCTTTTGGGAAAAGCACTTTTGAGAAGATACCTCCTTCTAAAATGGCATCTCCATCGCGCCACGTTAATTCCCCTTTTCCTCTAGCAGGAAAGGAAAGGATGGAGGACTTTTCAATCCGCGGATAACCTTGGTGTCTTGGCTCTCTTCTCTTCCAGTGCCATTCAGGAATTATGGGAGGAGGTCATTATGTCACCTATGCCAAAAACCCCAACGACAAATGGTACTGTTACAACGACAGCAGCTGTAAGGTAAGCCATTTTGCGGGCTTAAAGGGGAAGAACCTAAAAGCTGCTAAGAAGAGCTTCCATTACATAGGAACCTCTGTGCCCTGAAGTGAGTCACCGGGATTTCAGGACATAACACGGTTGACTTTTGGCCCACCTGTATTGCAGCAACCTCTTTCTGGGTGTCCATCAGTGGCGGGATTCAATTTTTTTTAATACTAGGTCTGTGGGTGTGGCTTGGTGGGCGTGGCATGGTTTGGTGGGCACGGCAGGGGAAGGATAGTGCAAAATCCCCATTCCCTCCCCATCCCAGCCCACTAACCTGCTTTCCATCTCCGTCCTCCTATGCAGGGCAACCAAAGAAGACCGAGCCGATCAGCTGGGACTTAATGGGAGGCAGAGAATAGATGGGGGCGGGGCCAGTCAAAGGTGGGATTGGCTGGTTCTCCGAACTACTCAAAATTTCCACTACCGGTTCTCCAGAACTGGTCAGAACCGGCTGAGGACCACCTCTGGTGCCCATCAATTGTCTGTCTCAGGAGACCTTGAGGCAGATGAGGTTCTCTTCCACTTGTGTTGCTCCATTTTGAAAATTGGCGGTGGCCCCTTGGGGATTCGAGACATGTTAGTCTCTAGGCCAGGAGTAGAGACTGATGGCTCTTTTAGGACTTCTGGACTTCAACTCCCAGAATTCCGAAGCCAGCATGGCTTCCCCACCTCTGGTTTAAATTGTCCTGTCCTAGAGAGTCCTGTGGTAATAAGCCACAGGATATTTGTTGCCCTTATAAGGAAACTTCAGATCGCTTAACTAGGTCTGGGCATTCTTCCTGGGGATGCATCGGTGTCTTTTACTGCGTTCTACCATTTTCCAAAGTTTCCAACAGGATTTGTTTGTTTATATCCCATCTTGAAAAGGGGTGGCTCAGGGGCTAAGACGCTGAGCTTGTCAGAAAGGTCGGCAGTTTGGCAGTTTGAATCCCTAGCGCCACGTAACGGAGTGAGCTCTCGTTACTTGTCCCAGCTTCTGCCAAGCCAACAGTTTGAAAGCATGTAAGAAAAGTGCAAGTAGAAAAATAAGGACCGCCTTTGGTGGGAAGGTAACAGCCTTCCGTGCGCCTTCAGATGTTTAGTCATGCCGGCTGCATGACCACGGAGACGTCTTTGGACAGCGCTGGCTCTTCTTCGGCTTTGAAATGGAGATGAGCACCGCCCCGCTAGAACCGGAAACAACTAGCACAGATTTTTACCTTATCCCATCTTTATTATTTTCTTACAAATAATTCAAAGCGATGAACACATGCAACACACACCTTCCCCCTCTTATTTTCCCCACAACGGCAACCCTGTTAGGTGAGTTGGACTGAGAGGGAAGGGCTGGCTCAAAAGTCACCCAGCTGGCTTTCATGTCTAAGGCAGGATTAGAAACATGTCTAAGGTGGGATTAGAATTCATTGTCTCCTGGCGATTAGCCCAAAGTCACCAGCTTTCATACCTAAGGTGCAGTGGTGGGATTCAATTTTTTTTACTACCAGTTCTGTGGTGGGCGTGGCAGGGGAAGGATACTGTAAAATCTCCAGTCAGAGGTAGTATTTGCTGATTCTCCAGAGTACTCAAAATTTCCGCTACCGGTTCTCCAGAACTGGTCAGAAGCTGCTGAATACCCACCTCTGCTAATGTGGGACTAGAACTCACCGTTGCCTGGTCATTGACCCAAAGTCACCCAACTGATTTACATGGCTAAGGCAGGACGACCCCACCATCTCCTGCTCATTGGCTCAGAGTCACCCAGCATCTAAGGTTGGAGTAGAACTCATGGTATCCTAAGCCTGGTGCCTTAGCCTCTAGACCAGTGATGGCTAACCTTTTCAGCTTGGTGTGTCGAAAATCGGGAAAAAGTGGAGCCTTCCTCGGGTCGTGTGTCACTTCAAGAAATATCAATAATTTGATTTATGACGGACTGGGCTGGGGTGATCACGCAGGGCTGTGAAACTAGTCTCCCTGGTCTCAGGGCTGCAGGTGCAGGATGTGGGGATCGGAAGGCCACCTTACAGGGCTGTGAACCTCAACCTTTCCTCCTGTAGCGTTCCTGAGGTAATGAAACTGACAAACCTCAGTTTATGACGGTTAAAACTGGTTCTCTGCTGCAAAGATCTTGCGGCAGCGGTGACACCATGCCTCCATGCAACAAGCAGGGAGCAGGGATTGGAGCAGAGCACAGGCAGCCTCTAAATGTGCAGGTTTTCCCCACACCAACAGGCGTGTCAGTCAAAGTGCCTCGGCGTGTCACGAGTGACACGCGTGTCATAGGTTACCCATCACTGCGCTAGACTAAAGTTGCCATTTCCTGCAGTGTCCTTACAATAAGCTGCTATACCAGCCTCCCTGATCCCAAACAATCTCCAGTAATATTAGGACAAGAGTTTTCAGGAGTTTTCAGTATTTTGTACATTTAAAAATGTTGAAGTAATATTGTATTCTTTCAAGAGAGTGATACTAGAGGGGGAGCTCTCGCCTCACGATCAGGAGGCTCTGAGTTCGATCCTAGGTAGCGACAGATATTTCTCTCTCTGGCTACAATGAGTAAATATCACCTGCGAACTCTGCATTGGTGACAGGAGGAGCGTCTGGCCAGTAAGCACTCGGCTCCATTGAGTTGCTCCGACTCCACCCTGATGCAAGGGATTACAGGGTCATTAAAAGATTAAAAAACATGAATTATTTTGACAGCTGTTCCCTAATAAGCACCTCTTCTTTTCCTCCTCCTCCTCCTCCTCCTCCTCGTCCATCATTCAGGAATTGCATCCTGATGAAATCGACACAGATTCTGCCTACATCCTTTTCTACGAACAGCAAGGAGTGGACTATGCACAGTTTTTGCCAAAGATTGAGGGCAAGAATATGGCGGATACCAGTAGCATGGATGAAGATTTTGAGTCCGATTACAAAAAGTACTGTGTCTTGCAATGAGCAAAACGGGTTTCGTAAAGGTTAGTCCGAGGAGATTGCATCACAAGGCTGGCAACAAAAGAGAACAAAAGGAAATACGGTTTTAACTGAGCAGAAGAGCTAGGTGTAGTTTTTATTTTTTTATTTTTTATTTTATTTTTAATTTTCCTCCTGTGACCGGAAAGCACAACTAAAGAAAAAAACAAAATTAAAAAAAAAATAGCAGGGGGAGAAAGAGAAACTCTAATTAAAGTGAGCATTTATCAGGTGGCATTTGCTTTGGTTTCCCATCTTTGTTGCTTCATGCCCAGAGGGTGGGGGAAGAAGACCCGTTGGTTAAACTGTTTTATTTTGCCTTCAGCCTTTAACCTCAGCAAACTAAAGACTAGATGCATTTAAAATTTGAGAAAGGTAATCCAGCGAAGAGGCAGAATAACCGTAGTCTGTTCGTCCCTTTGACCAATTTGCTCTTAGAGACGTCTGAAGTAAGTTGGGGTTGGGGAAAGAAATGACATTTGGGAAAGCTCTCTTCCAATTGTTGCTAATGATTCACTTGTAGTGTTGTCCTGACAACATGAAATTTCTACCTCCTTTTTCTGAAGTTTGATTCCATGTCTGCGAGGAGAAGAGGCACACGCAGAGACGGCAGGCACAAGCCGCAGAAAATTCCTGCAAACTTTCCCTGCTGTTCATTTTCTCTCACTTGATGTATTTGTTAGCAGTTCCTTTCCGTCGCCTTAAGAATAAAGTTTCCTCTCTTTTTTATTTTTTTTTGACCTTGTGGAATTGTTCCAACCCTTTTGGCTTTCAGAGAGGTTCCAGAGCAGCTCCAGCAGCCTTTTGGCGCTTGAAAGGGCTGGAGATCTGGAAACTGAGGCAGCTCCAGGCTGTTCCTGGGGGCAGTGAGTAGGCTAATTATTTGTATTCATCTCCACTTTGGATGGATTGGGGTGTTCTAGGAGCCAAGCGTTTCTCTGTGTACAAGAGGGTACTTGGGTAAGAAACCTGCTCTGGTTGTGAAAATATTTTGCCATTGTGGTTACCCTGTCCCCTCAACTTACAACTTTCATTCAGAAGAAGCTAGTTCCTGATTTTTTTGGTGTATTGATCTGATCGCTCTTGAGAATGGGAAAGTCAAATCAGGAATCTGTTCCCCAACTCAACCCAACCCAATGCAACTCAACCCAGCCCACTGCAACTTAACCAACCCAACTTAATGCAACTCTACCCAACCCAAGTCAACCCAACTCAATGCAATTTAACTCAACCCAACCCAACCTGATGCAACTCTACCCAACCCAACCCAATGCAACTCAACCTAATTCAACCCAACCTTTAAATCCCAGAAACAAGGGAGCCTGGTTGAGTGCTTTGAGCCAACAGTGTGTCAGTGATGGCTGATGGGAAATGTGTACCCAAAGGAGGACTATAGGCAGGGAGGGGTCAAAAAGTTCAAGATGGAGTCGGTGACTATAATCAAAATTCTACCCACCTTTTTATACTTGTGTCACGCGTGCAGGAGATGGGCGGGGCTTCAGAAGGGCAGTGACAGCCGCCATCTTGATTTTTAGGACCCCCTCCCCCAAGTAGCCGCCCCTCACAATGGAGATGGAATACAAGGCTAACAGCCTCTTCTTCCTCACTCCTAGCACCAATCCTTCATTTGTGGTAGACCTTTTGAAAGGAGAGAGTCCTCACACATATTGTTCTCTCTTCCTTCATTGGAGGGAGTGCCAGTCATGTTTTTTTTTTTTAAATTATTTGCACTTTAAAAATAATAATAAAAACATAACAGAGTTCATTTTTCAGTGCTTTGGGGATAGCTGTGTGCGTGCTTGGGTGTGTGTCCTTTCCATTCCTTTTTCTTTCGAAAAGCAACGTTAACATGTCTGAAGGATGACCATCAGTGATGGAGAGGTTGTCCGTTCTACCACCCAACAGGCTATCCTTTTGGGGTAGCCAACCTTGTCCCCGGAAGGAATATTAATACTTCAAACCCACTTCAAGCATATTGTGGCTTTTAACCATCTCTTGATGGTGATTCCCCTTTATCTGTTCTTGTAGGTCAGCCAGAGTCAAAGCAGAGCAGTGAGGTGGGTGGCTGCATAAATGTAATAATTAAATGAAAGAAGGAATTAAATTGGCAGCCATGTCCAGCTTCTATGAATGGAAATGGATTGAGAGAGCAGAATAATGAGGGAGCTACGGCAAACGTTCCCATTTTCAGGTGAGCTGAAAATCCTTCGATTTGAAAATCCTTCCTTACCTCTGCATTTGTTGAGCCAAGCCCTAAATCAGACACACACACACCCTCCTCATTCCAATCAGATGATGAAATAAGGTTGATCAGAGGTTAGGATAAACCGTCATTTCTTCACAAACGAAGCCTCTGAATCAGCTCTTAGTAACACAGTGAGATTTTCAAAGAGCGGCGAAGATGAGTTTTGCTCCTAATCTGGAAATCTATAGCATGGAGGACTATCTCGGCCTTCCACTGTTCTTTGAACTGCTCCTGTCAATCCTTCCCTTACTGAGAACCTGACAAAAATCCACGGGATTTCTTTCAGCTAATTTCCCCATCGTTCCCTCATTCCCCCCCACAAAGCAAAATCACTTAGATTTTGTTGGCATCAGGCTATCTTCTTCCAACTGCGGTGTTCTCAGAACACTTTTTTTTAAAAACTCCCTTTTTCGTTCCTGGTACCCTTTTCTGGCAGTTCCAGGGCATTGTGGCTTCGTCTAACCTCACATTAAAAACGAGGATTAGTGTTGAAGCTTGGCAAACATGGAGAAGGATTGCAGGGGTCAGGTGGACCTTAACATTTGAGCCTGCTCTTTGGTAGGTGTTTCTCAACTCTCAAAATTCCCCATCCGGACTGCTTTCAAATTGGCGGACTTTAACTCCCCAGAATTCCCCAGCCAGTAAGCAACACAGATCTTAATTCACCCCGAGTGGGCGTTAAAAGTCCACCCAATGTAAAACATGCTGGCTGAGGAATTTTGGGAGTTGAAGTCCAAGGCACCAAGGTTGAGAAACACTGCCGGAAGAACCCAACAGTTGACAGTTGCTCTGTCTTTTGACGGTCTCCTCGAAACGATTTGCGTCCAAGCAACTCAGCCATGCACTGTGGAACTTAACCCATCCAAGTGATGTGGCACCATCATCCAGCGGTCGCTTGTGTTGGGGCCCTTTGTCACTTCCGTTAGCGTGCGCATGTGTGTGAAAGTTGCAGACGGGGTTACTTCAAACCCAGATCTTCTGCTGGACCCACGGCAGAAGGTTAGGGCTCAACCTAAGGAGAAGAAGGACCTAGGTAGTGTCTCTTAGCTTGCCGTGCAAGATCAAACCACCATCGTCTATAAAGTCCCATAATCCTTGACTGTGCTGTGTAGTCCAGAGTAGCTCCTGAAAACCAGCTTCCCAACATCAGTTCTAATGGGTGCCACCACTCAGTCGTGTGATTAATAGCGTGACGTTCCCCCTTTTGCCAAAAAAACAAGCCAGCATCTTGTTGAACGCATCGTGCGATGCCTATCAATCTGCGATGTAGCCAAATCCTGGGGGTGGGGAGAGATTTGAACAATGCCTTGGCCCCTAATTGTCCATTTTCTTGACCTCTTTGAGCATGGAGAAAGTCCCTACTTTAAAAATACTCCTTCTTTGAAGATCCCTTCCACGTCGCTCTTCATCTCTTCGTTTCTTTGGGAAACAGTTTGGGTTTTTAAGTTCCAGCCCAGCATGATCCGCTCACCTCGTCTTTAATCTGCCATGCTTTGTTACATTGGTTGTAATGATTAATATTTTTTTTTTAAGAAAAAAGGTTTAAATTAATTCCTAAATTTAATAGGAAAAGCAAAACAAACGATTTAAGTTAACTGTTTAACTATATTTGCTCTGTAAATTATTGTATAAAACCTATTGACAATGCACTGAATTTAGAAAGACTGTGTACATAAGTACTGTGTAAATAATTCAAAGGGGAAAAAACAAAGTATTAATGTATTGGGATATGACCTGTATTAAAAAAAAAAAGCAAGTCCAAGTAACTGTATATGGAGTGAACTTGTCTATCTGTAAGTATATTATTCAAGCAAATTAAATACTGTGGATGCAACTCAACTCTGTCGACCGATTCATCATTGGAAAATTTAAAGGGGCAGCTTCCATAAAAATTAAATTACTCAGTCAGTTTTGATAGGGAAATAACGCCATGACGTGACCTTTCTCCTGGGTTATGCGTTACCTGAAAAACAAATATTGTCATTCATTCACTCACTCATCCATGCATTGAATTTAAGTACAGGTGGTTCTCAACTTATGATCACAATTGAGCCCAATATTTCCGCTGCTAAGCAAGATTGTTGTAGAGTGAGTTTTGCCCCATTTTATGACTTGTCTTGCCACAGTTGTTAAATGAATCACTGCAGGTGTTAAGCTAGTTACACCGTCGTTAAAACAAACTTGGCTTCCCCTCTTAACAAAGCACCTAAGGGCAGGACAAGAAGCAACGGGTGGAAACTAATCAAGGAGAGAAGCAACTTAGAACTGAGGAGAAATTTACCGACAGTTAGAACAATTAAACAGTGGAACAACTTGCCTCTAGAAGTTGTGAAAGCTCCAACACTGGGAGTTTTTAAGAAGAGATTGGACAACCGTTTGTCTGATGTGGTATAGAGTTTCCTGCCTAGGCAGGGGGTTGGACTAGAAGACCTCCCAAGTCCCTTCCGACTCTGTTATTCTATTCTATTCTAACTTTACTTGTCAGGAGGTCACAAAAGGTGATCACATGATCCCTGGGACACGGCAACTGTCATAAAAAAGGTGGTCATGTGACCACGGGATTGCTACAACAGTTGTAAGTGTGAAAAAAAAATTCACAAGTCACTTTTTTCAATGCCGTTGTAACTTCGGTCACTAAACAAATGATTGTAAGTTGAGGACTGTCTGTACCGTACTGCCAAAACTCTAGGCTAGAGGCAGTTTTGGGCGGCTTGCAAACATTAAAACCGGTAGACGTTAAAATGACAGAACAGTAACAAACCACAAGAGTAAGTATGGTTAAAAAGTACAGTATAATAAATGTTAACAAATGGTGATCCTAGGAATAAAAGTCTGGGTGTACTTAATTTCATTTATGAACTCTGCAGCCATCAGGTGGCGGCATTTGCTTCCAAATTCTTCCAAACTTCCCAAAAGTTTGTGGTTCGTTTCAATGACATCTCTGGTTTCACTCTGTTGTTTCTTGACTCCTGGAATTTTTTTCCTTACAAATAAATGAAAAATAAATAAAAATAAGGAAAACGATGTTGCACATTTATTTACATTTAGAGAGTAATTCCAGGTGAGAGTTAGGTGATCTGTGGCTTCCTCACCATAGGTAGTCCTCGACTTACCACAGTTCATTTAGTAACCATTCGAAGTTTCCACGGCACTGAAAAAAGTGACTGACGACCATTTTTCACACTTCACAACAACCCTTTGCGGCCTCCCAATGGTCCCCTGCTTTTCAGAGGCTGCACAACAGCATAGCTGTCTTGTGCAGGGGCCCCACATCTGATTATCAGGGAGCCCCCACGAGAATGGGCCATGCTTTTGAGAATAGCTGTCAGGTGTTGGTGAACCCTGGCACATCAACCCAAAACCTCCACGGCATGTTACCTTTGACGCATAGGTCATATATTTGTCATCACTGATCTAACAGGAAAACCAATGCGAGAAGATTCTTCTAAGAAATCCTTTAAAATGGAGGAGAAAGAGAAGAAAAGAGAAAAATGGAATGGAATGGAATGGAATAGAGAAGAAAAGAGGAGAAAAAATTGGAATGGAATGGAAAAGAATAGAATAGAATAGAATAGAATAGAATAGAATAGAATAGAATAGAATAGAATAGAATAGAATAGAATAGAATATGGAATGGAATGGAACAGGATAGGATTGAATAGAATGGAACAGAACAGAATATAGGA